GCTTGAGCCCAGGAGTTTGAGGTTGCAGTGAGCTGTGATGACCTCACTGCACTCTAGCCCTCGATACAGGGCAAGACCCTGTCTCAAAAAAAAAAAAAAAATTATTTTTTAAACATCCATACACAAAAGAGAAATTGTGATTTTAAAAACTCATTTGCAACTACAAAATTTGAAAAGAAGTTTCAAATTTTCTTCTGTCTTCACAGAAAGGAATCCAAGATAGTTCTTCTCCGCAATGTCACACTCCTGCCCGTGGCCTGGCGGGTCTCCAACCTGGAGCACCTGGACGATGACTTCACTGTGTCCATGATGCAGGGCATCATCCCCTCCAAGGCTGAGTATGGCCTGTACGTTCACTTCCAGCCCACCAAACCTGTCAACATCAGGAAGGCCATCCGGTTGGAGGTGAGGCTTCCCACATCTGCAGACTCGGTTAACACATTGGGTTCACCCACAACACATTGGGTTCACCCACACTCACACAGCCAGGTCTCCCTGTCACATCCTCCTGTCTGATCCCCGTTTGACATCCCCATCCCATAACATCTTGCTGTACACACAGCTACAAGCTCCATACAGGCAGTATTGCTCGAGGCTGATTTCCCAGTGCCATGAACAGAGCACCCAATCGATGTGGAATAGACAAATGAAATAAATGGCGTTACTATACCTAGGGAAGCATTAGACACCTATCAGATTCCTATCTCGATAAATGTCATCCTTCACCTTGTTAACCCCAACAGACACCTGGGAATCACCCTGGACTTCCCTCTTTTCCTGATGACCTCCCTTCCAACCCAGTCCCCAACCAAGCTTTGCTAATTCTTTCTCTTGGTGTATCTCCTTCACACCTACTTCTCTGTCTGCACAGCCGCCACCACCCTTGTCCAGGCCACCTGCAGCATCTCTCACCTGGACTTCTGTAGAGGCTTCCTAACTGCTTTCCCTCCCGGCTTTCCCCAGAGTGCCCGAGGGATCTGCACAGTGTCAGTCAGATCAGGGCACTCCCCTTCCTAAATTAGCTTTGCTGGCCTCCCAGCGCAGCAGGCGCAAAGCCCAGGGTCCTCACCCACCACCCCCGCCCCCGCCCTCGCTCATTGGCTCTCTTCTGCCTCCGGCCTTGACTTTGCTGCAACCCAGCTGGGAATCTGCTCCTAGGCTCTGCGGGGAGTTGGCTCCTGCTTTAGGGTCCCCTAAATATCACCTTGCACTGGGCTTCCCTGGCCACCCCATTGAGAGCGTCCCTCTTACATGCACTCATACGGCCCATCTTCCATCCTTCAGGGCACCACCTCTTCCTGATGTTATCCTGTTTCTTTCTTTACTTTCTTGAATGAGCTCCATCAAGGCAGGATCTTACTCATTCACCATCCGTGTTCGTTTCCTGAAGCATCTGTAACACATCACCACAGCTGGGCAATTGCTTGAACAACAGACATTGCTCTCTCACCGATCTGGAGGAAGAACCTTCCTTGCCTCTTGCAGCTTCTGGTGTCTGCTGCTAGTGTCCCGTGGCTTGTGGACGCGTCACTCCAATCCGCCTCCATCGTCACAATGCCTTCTCTTGCCTGTGCCTCTTCCTCTTCTGTCTCTCATAAGGACACTTGTCACTGGATTTAAAGCCCACTCAGATAATCTAGCATGATCTCATCTCAAGATCTTTGACTTAATGACATCGTCTGCAAATACCCTTTTCCCAAATCAGGTCACATTCACAGGTTCCAGGAGATAAGAAAGGGACATACTTTTCGGGGCACCACCAGTCAACCCACTATACCGTCACCTCCCCAGGGTCTGGCACAGGCCTGGGCATGGGGGGCGCTCAGTGGAATCTGATGAATGGACAGACACATGTCACAGACTTTTAATACTTGAGTCTATTCTGCAACAGTCAAGGGGTCATCCAGGCTTCTCTTTGAATACCTCCAGGGGCAGAAAACTTACTACCACTCCAAGCAGCCTTAGCTCCCTTCAAACAGGTCTGTTAATTCTTCCTTTGGTTGAGCTCACATTTCTCCTCATAACTTACATGCATTAATCCTGTTTCTACTTTTTGGGGCCACTCAGTAGATCCAATCTTTCTTATCCCCTACCTATGGCAACCCTTCAGATAACTGAAAATAGATATTTATGGATTCATTTAATCCATAAATATGTATGAAGCCCACTAGTCTCTGCACAGGCACAGGTCTCTGCACGAGGGACTGAGGCCCATGGCTGGTGTAGGCGCTTGGAGTCCCCTTGCTGTGCCAGCTTCATCCTGCAGTTGCTGGATCACGGGGAGTCCAGGGCTCAGTAGGCTGGCGGCAAGGGGACACGTGGAGAGATCATGGTGACAGCTGTTTGCCAAGTGGTACAGAAATATTTCTGTATTGTAACTGTTGCGACCATCTCTGTGTGTCCCAGCCAAACAGCAGCCTGACTAGGGCTCTGCACAAAGTAGAGTGGGTCTTCCTCAAGCCCCCCACATCATATTCCTTCGACATCCGCAAGAGGAAATGCCTTTTTTTCCAGTCCCTTTGGAAAGCATTACACTGAACTGGTTTTATTTTATTCGTATACCTCTTAAATTGTCCCTCCTATTTTCCTCAATTACAAAATTTGATCTCCCCCTCCCCACAGTGGGGAAGCAAGGGAAATAGAATGCTCTAGGTACTTGGCATCCATCAGCAGAAAGGTACTGCATAAATCCACTCAGAGAGAGAAGGTAAAACTCAAGTCGGTCTAGTGTGCTCTTTGAGACACTGTCAAAGTCAGATGAAAGACAAAACGGAAATCCCGAATTAAAATTTGAGTTTGGTGACAGCCACAGATTTCCCCTTCGCACCCAAAGCACAAGTAATGGGGAGTTGGTGACGCAGGTTTTCAACGGGGGGCCTCAGCAGATGGGCAAGTGGGCTCCATGCAGACCCAGGAGAGCTGAGCCCCTGCCTGCCAGCGCTTTCTCTTGACAAACGGACCCTCCGTCGCCTCCTGGTTGGTCCCAAGAGCCAGCAGTTGGGGTGGGCTGACAGCTGCGCCAGTTCAGAAGTGCTCAGGACAGCAAGGGAGGGACCACCCATGGGCATGACCACAGGGGTCCGTGCTCAACTGGAGCCAGGGATCTTAACAGTAATCATTGATGTTGGCACAAATAAAACGTTCGACTTTTCCAAACAGTAAACGCTTATTTTATATGAAAAATCTAGCACTTTTTCCACAGGTTGAGTCACAAAGAACAGAACAATTCAGATTTGTAAAATGAGTAGAGCAAGGATGACTTCGAGTATAAACTTTCGATTTCAACTGTCAGAACAATGCTCTTCAGATTTATTTGATTTAAAAGTTCAAAAATAAAAACCACTTTTTTGCAATGCCTACTCACAGCCCGAACTTCAGTAGTGTAGCAACAATCACACAAATAATTTACACCTAGTAGAAGCACACAATGAAAAACACAGTCTCTCACCCCCATTTCGGTATCGTCTACACCAGCATCCCCCCAAGAGTGTTATAAGAAGCACTAATCCTACCAAACACTTGGTGAAAATAAAAGACCTATGGCTCAGTACATTTCAAAAACAGCCCCTACCATGTCCCCTTCATTAGACCAACTGCGTGTTACATATCTCAGGCTCCAAGCACCTCACGGATCTTGCTTTTATTGAAGAATTTCTCTTACCCTGACAGGTCTCAGATGCAGAAAATCTTGTTGGTATTGTTCAGATTGAAAATATCCCGGTCTTTGCAGAGTCCTACGACATTGCCTTGGACATCACCTTCCCCAAAGGTCTGTTGAGCCCTTCAAGGAAGAGGGTGTTTAGAAGTTGTGTCTTTTCGTGTAGTGTGTTTCTGTGTAGAGAAAGGCTAGTGTGTTGTTGGTATTGTGGTGGTTGGAAGGGGGAGGAGAGAATTTCAGGACAACAGTAATGTGAGCCCCAGAGCAATGCCAGCAACATTACTACACACCATACTTTCTCCAACTGAAGATAGCAAGGGGGTGGCCATAAATATAAAATTTGCAGAGCTTTCCTGAGCAGTCACCTGATAGTAAACCCCCCCACTTCCTGTCTATATTAGTTTTCTGTCACTGCCATAACAAATTGCCACAAACTTTCTAGCTTAAAACAACACAAATTTATTCTCTGACAGTTCTGTAGGTCTCACTGGGCTAAAATCAAGGTGTCAGCAGGGCCGTATTCCTTTCTGGAAGCTCTAGGGGAGAATCCATTACCCTTCCCAGCCTCTAGAGGCTGCCCAAGCCTTCCTGGGTCACAGTCCCCTTCCTCTGTCTCCAGAGCCAGCAAGGCCGGGCCAAATCCTCCTCATGCCACCGTCTCTGGTTCTCCACCTTCTGCCTTCCTTTTCCACTCCTAAGGACGCTTGTGATTATATTGGGCCCAGCCGGATAATCCAAATTAATCCCTGTATTTTAAGGTCAGTTGGGTAATTCCATCTGCTACTTTAATTCCCCTCTGCCATGCAAGGCAGCATGTTCACATATTCCGGGGAATAAGATGGCCGGAGTGGGGGTACAGCTATTGTTCTGTCCACCGTGCTTGCCCTAACACCCGAGGAGTCGGAGCTCTCCACCGCCCCTCCTTCCCCCGATGGTCCCCTTCTCAGCGAGATTCATAGGGTGTGAGAGCTACATCTTTGCTCAGATATCATTAGTCATATGTACAAAGATCCTTTGTGGCAGCATTGTTTATAATAATGAAAAGTTGGAAATAACCTAAATGTCTACCAATAAGGGAATAATAGTATTATGGGACCAATCTTATATTATAGAACTGCCACATCATAGAATATTATGCAGCCACTAGTATCACATTCATAAGGAATTTTTAATTATTTGGGGAGATGTTTGTGATCTAATGCTAAGTAAAACAATACAAATGTATGTGTAATAGCCCAACTGTCTAAATTATACACTTTAAACAAATTTTTTTTAAGTACTCGAGTGTTTAGCTGATGGTAGACATGAAAGTTCAAGGATCCTAGGATGCAATCTGGAGGGGACAGCCTCATTGAACTGGGCCCCAGAGCAGTGTCTGTCATTTGTCTGCCAAAACTCAATGACATGAGGCTTTTCTAGCCGCAGTGTTTCCAGAAAGCAAATCCTCTGAGCTTGTCACCTTGGGTTTTCCACGTGAGCTTCAGCAGGACCCTCCCTGCTTCTCCATCCCCTGCCCACTCCCCACTCCCCACCCGGCCCGGCCTCTGCAGGAGCTGAAGGAGGCCTGGACTTTGGGATCGTGAAGGTCATGGAGGAGGTGAAACAGCCCCTGCAGCTGAAGAACCGCGGCAAATACGAGATCCTGTTCAGGTAACCCAAATCCCACCCACTCAGGTGGAGAACCGGGAAGTGTCTGGGAGACTTTTTAAAGGAAATCAATCAAGGGAATCATAAGAACCATCCCTGCTTTTGGCCTCCCTTGGCTTCAGATGAATGGAATTCCAGCTGCTAAGAGCTCCCAACTCTGCAGCTTACCAGAGACCTTTCAGGGCCCTCTGGATGCACCTGGAGCCACAGGGGCCTGGGGTGGAGGAAGAGACCGGGGGATGTGGGGAGACCCTGGGGCAAGAGCAGGCCCAGGGCATGGGAGGAGAGTCTGGAGATGGGGGACCTGGCCTCAAGCTGTCTGTCCTGCCGGCTGCCAGCTCTTACCTGCTTTACAAGGTGCTCTTCTACACAAGATTTCATGTGAAGAAAGGATTTTCCTTTTTTTTTTTCATTTTTTTTAATTTTAAGAACCACTATATTATAGAATCCAAGTAGTGTCTTGGCAGAATACAGCTCCAGCTGGTGCTCATCCCCTGAGATTAAAAATGAAGCATGGAATCAGGGAGGCCCCTCAGGCAAGGCCACCTGGCCCCCCAGTGGCCCCACCAGCCCTCAAGCCTAGTCCATGTCTATGAAAGGTCATCCTCCTGCAGAAGAATTCACAGTCAACAACAGGACTTCCCCCCTGCAGACTTGGAAGAAATTCAGTGTATTCATGATACTATGATAAGGCACACCTGTAATGCCAGGGACTCAGGAGGCTGAGGCGGGAAGATTGCTTGAGGCCAGGAGTTCAAGTTGAGCCTGAACAACATAGCAAGACCTCATCTCTTAAACAAAAAAAAAAAGAAAGGAAAGAATGCTAAAATTAAAGAGGTCCCACCTCAGTACTGCCATTGAAACTATAAATTGAAATAAATGAATATAAATGAAGGCCAAAAAAAACAGAAAAAAGACCACTGTCACTTTGGAATTAGCACTAAGTGGAATCTTGCCCGTTTGTGAATTTTGTTTTAGATCATGACAGAGGTATAAACTCTGCTCTTTTAAGTTGCATGGAATGGAGTCGCCTCAGGTTGAAACAGGTGATCAGGGGTTCATCGAAAGAATGCACAGGGGAGTGAGGAAGCACAGGCATGCAAGCAGTTGAGCCCCCAGGTCTTCTGGAGCATGGGGGTGACATTCAGACCCCCACAGAAATTCCAGGTGTCCCACCTGTGCTTAAGTTCCTTGTGCCTAGTCTGGTCCCTCTGCCAGTCTTGTGAGTCAGCTTCTCTCTGTGGTTCTTGCTTCATCCCTGTCGGGCCACGACTCCCCTTCCTAGTGCGTCTGTAGCATGGAGCCTGCCCCACCCTCCACTTTCTCTCCTTAGAGCCCCTGGTTTCTGTGTCGCTTTTCCCTCTGTGTGTACTGCTTTCAGACTCAGGCAGAGAGAGAGTTTTTAGTTGGTCCTTTTTCAGTATCAGGTGTCCCTGTTGGACACAGATCTCCTTTGAGGGCCCCTCTTGACCGTGGGATAGAGGACGGCTATCTTCACGTCAAGCATCAATCCCTGGCCCAGTCACTCGTGCTCAGGAGGGGAAGTCACAGAGTAAAAAGCACAGGGGACACTTCCAGGCATGGTGGTTAACCAGGGCAGAAAACTTGGCAGGCACTCAACAGCCCTCCTCTCTGGTGTCTTGGGTTCCCTGGATAATGACTGAAACTGACTCTTTATTCTTGTCTTTCAGCTTTTCCGTGGACTCCGTAGGGATTTTGACAACCAATGTAAATTCCATGATCTCAGTACAACCCAAAAAGGGTTCGCTGACCACAGCAGAAAAACTTACAAATGTCCAAGTACACTTTCATGCGAAAAAGGAAGTGAAGATCGAGCACCAGCCCATTCTGCGCTGTCAGGCAAGAGAGCTCAAAGGGAGAGGGTGACCTCATGGCAGGATTGTGGGCCTCCTGTTGAAAAAGATACTTGATCTAATCCATGCTCCGGGCGGGTAAAAGGAGGGCTGGCCTGGGTGGCATAAGATAGGATACACCGGGGTTTGGTCCCAACTAGCAAGCATTGGTGGGTCAGGTGGGAGGTGTGCAAAGTCATCAGAAATAGAGACAGAGAGGAAATGTGTCCCAGAGTCTTTGGGGAGCATCAGAGACAAGGAAGCTGAGCTCAGTCATCAACACAAGAGATGAATAGGGAACTGAAAACAGGAGGAAAGGTTGGTCCATGGTGACCCTTGGCAGGTACATAGAAAGCTCTGTGTTAGTGTTTGCTGGTATTGTGGTTGATGCAGTAATTCAAAAACAGTGAAATCAAGAATTAGGCTTCATGTCAATGATGAAAATAGGGAATGAAGTAGGCAAGCACAGGAATTCAGTAGCTATACTGGTGGCTGGTGACATCTTCCTAATTCTATTTCCCTTTCTAGATTATTGAACCCAATGTGACAGAAGGAGGTGAGATCATTGCCAGCATCCCAATTAAGATTTCTGTGAATGCAGTGTACTCCAAGTACAACATCAGCCCCTCCTCCATCATCAACTTTGGGGCTTTGATCTGTGGCACTCGCAAAAGCATCTGCTTCACCATAGAAAATCAAGGCATTACTGACTTCAAGTATGCCCTTTTCAGGATGACAGGGGAGAGCACTATTCATCAAAAGAAAGGGTAAGATGAGTATGAACTTAACTCATTCTAGTCCCCCGTTAATTCATGCTTCATATTTTACAAGGAGCTTTCCTATGTCTTATTTAAATTCACCCAATCCTCTTTTGTGGGTGAGGTCACTAAGACTTTAGAAATGGCTGGTCCAAGATTATGCAGGAAATCACCAGTAGAGCTTGGTTCTGAACCCACATCTTCTGACTCCAGATTTTATACATTTTCTGTCAAATATATGATAAATTTTAGTTGAACAAACACAAAAGTCTCTGCTTAGGATTTTGTCTGTTGTCCTAGTGCTTTTGGTGTGCTGAAAGACTTACAAGATCGTTGTGCTGCCATTCTGTAGGATGTCAAGGGACTATTACAACAGCAAGAAATTGTCGCTGTGCTTCTTGATGGGGGATGGCAAAGGCTACCCTGGACACGTGGAGGAGATAAAGTGGGGCGATGCCTCAGTCTACCAGGGAATGTCATTGCCTTCTTCCCATGAAGACACTTTGACAGCAGCTACCTTAATAGTTGCTCTGACAGCAAAACTCTATATCCTTCAAAAGGTGGCTCTCAATGAATGCTCCAAAAACAGTAATTTACCTTTTGAGTGCTTTTGGCTCCCACCAGGCTGTCATATTCTTTTTGGGAAAATTAGGAATGGTTTTACCAATTCCCAAGACACTTCTGTCTTCATTTGGACTTTCTAATTAATTGTTTCAAGCCAGACATACAGCTTTACATTGTTTGTAGCCTTTTCTATTTTCGTGGCTATCCTTTTCTGTATTGGCAAAGTGTGAACATATTAAGAAATTTGGAGTTAAATTGTCTAAAGTCTCTTTCTTCCAAATTTAACTTCAACCTAATTTCTTACATTTATTTTATAATAATTTAATAATGTTTGTAATGATTGTAACTTAATTGTGTTTTGCTTTAAATTGTTGTTCGTTTTAATTGATTTTTATTTTGGCATGCACAACTTCATGTAAAACATGCAAAAGGGGGTGGAACTTCAGGTGCCCTGATCATTAAGCAAGTGAATGGTTGAATATTTTAAAAGTTTAAGATTCACCTAAAATACATTTGAATATTTTAGGTGAATTGATCTCTAACTAATTATTGGGTAAACTAGCTTCAAGGGAAGTGAACAGTTACCAAAACATATATTTGAACTCTTGCTTATACTGAGCCTTAAAGACATCATGACCCTAAATGTGAAGAAAGAGAACAGAGTTTAATCTATTTTCCATTTCATTTTTTAAAATGAGATCAGGTAGAAGATTTGATGTCCACAAATACTTTTCCATATACTGCTTTCCAGTGAACTCAAGGAGGCATTTAAAAATTATTTTCTTGTAGTACTTTTCAATGTCTTTATACGTCATAGTTATTATAGTAGGTATAATTACTATATAGTTTCTGTCCAATTATTAATGAGTTTGGTCAGTGATCAGCAAGCTAACTGTGTCCCTCTGATGCACAGAAGGGCCCCTCCCCCCATTCCTGGAAGGGACCTGGCAAGCAGAAAGACAGGTGGTATTTAATGTCACCACCCAACCTGAGGGTATGCTCTTGCTTCTTTGATCAGAGCCAGCCACATCAGACACGCGAGATCCCGGGAAAGCGAGACCTTCTACAAGGGCGGCCTTCCCAAAGCAGCCAAATTCTCTGACGTGATTCAGAAGGAAGTAAACATCACAAGCCAGGTGAGTGCCCTTTTCCTTGTCTCAGAAACCCAGGGAGCCCACCTCTCACCTGGCCCTCACCACCAAATACCTACCTACGACAACAGGATGTGAATCTACTGTGGTAGGAATGGTAAGAAATTATTGTGAAATATCGTGTTCATTGTAAGCCAAGGTGTTATGACTTTTTAATTTGGATATCCTCTTTTGCTTTAAAACTGTCATTGGCTCCCCATTGCCTTAAAATTGTTTCAACTCTTCATATATATTTTAATCAAAAAACCTTTTGTTTATAAGAAACAGCCTATACAAACAGTCCTAAATAAAAGGAGATTTAAAGACTTCTGCTTCTGGTAAGATCAAACAGACACACTTTTCTCTATTCTTCCCAACTAAGTACAACTAAAAACCCTGGACATTGTATATAAAACAAACTTCAGACTCTGAAAAGTAGAGAGAAGAATCCAGACCAGCAAGGGTCTTTGCAGCCCAAGGAATATCAAGGGGTCTGGTTTCTGAGCTTTCTTTTTGCTCATGTGTCCTTCAGACTGGGTACAATCCTGAAATATCAACAGACACAGACAAAAAGCCCCAACACAAGCCTATTCCCACTAGCCCAAGGACCAGGAAAGGGGCGGCCTAGAAAGACAGAAAACTTTTAGACAATAACTGTTCTGCTCCAGCCAAACACCAAAGAAAAAGCTCTAGCTCCACCCCACCCCCACTAGCAAAGGCCAACTGGGGAGTCTAGATTCCACCCTCTCCAGGCTATCATGAGGTACCCCAACCCCCTTGCCAGGGTGGTGTCAGAGATAGTCACGTAGGACACCAAGACTTTCATTCCCACTAGCCAATAACAAGAACCCCTCCCCTCAGTGCCACTGTGTTTATGGAGACACTACATGGAAAGCCTTGGCTTCCACCCTAACCCAGTGGTAATGAGATGTCCCTCCCCTTCCCCTGCTGGACCTCTCCATCCCACATGGCATCAGTGGAACAGTAGCAAGGCACTCTTACCCCTCCCCACCAGGGAGGCATTCTTTGAGGACTAGTGGGGAACTGGAACACCCACTCCTGCCAAGCAGTCATGAGTCCAGGTGAGGAGTCTGGGCTGCTACCTTAGTGCCCTCCTTCCCTGCCAGAAAAGTGTCAGAAAGCCAGCTCAAACAGAAGGCTTAAATAAGACCCAGAGTCTCATAACATAATACCCAAAATGTCCAGGTTTCAACTGAAAATCACTCCTCATACCAAGAACCAGGAAGATATCAAACAGAAGGAAAATATACAAATACTAGATGCCAACATTGAGCTGACAGAAGTGTTAGAATTATCTGAAAAAGAAACCAACATAAAAATACTTCAATGAGCAATCATAAGCACGCTTGGAAAAAAATTTTAAAATAGTCTCAGCAAAGAAAGAGAAGATAGAAGAACCAAATGGAAATTGGAAAATAAATAACCAAAATTTACAATTCAGTGGCTGGGTTCAACAACAGAATGGAGGGGACAGAGGAAAGAATCAGTGACTTTGAAGACAGATGACTGGAATTCCTGCGTTTGTTTCCTATCGCTCCCTTAACAAATTACCACAAATTTAGTGCCTCAAAAAAAATACAAATTTTTTATCTTGCAATTTTGTAGGGTCAGAAGTGCTAAAAGCAAGGTGTTGGAGTTCCAGAAAGAGTTAAGAAAGAGGGTGGGGCTGAAAAAGGTACTTGAAGAAATAATGACTAAAAACTTTCCAAATTTGGCAAAAGGTATAAACCTACAGACTCAAGAATCTGAGCAAACCCCAAACAGGACAAACCTAAAGAAATCTATATGTTATAATTAAATTTCTGAAAATTAAAGACAAAGAAAAAAATCTTGAATGCATTGAGAGAGATTTCTTACAAAAACCATGGCGACCCAGAAGGAAGTAGCATAATATTTTTGCAAGTGCAGAAAACCAGTAACTGTGAACCCAGAACTTATATCCAACAAAAATATCTCTCTGGAAGAAAGGGAAAATCAACGTTCTCAAACATAGGAAAACTAAAAGAATTTGTCACCAGCAGACTTACCCTAAAAGAATGGCTAAAGGAAGTTCTCTAAACAGAAAGTAAATAATAAAAGAAGGAATCATAGAACATCAAGAACAAAGAAAAAACACAATAAGCAATAAAATATGTAAATTCAATAGACTTTTCATTTCTTCTTAGGTTTTCTAAATTATGTTTGTCTATTGAAGCAAAATTATAATGCTGTCTGATATGGTTTTAAATGGATGTAGAGGAAATATTTTAGACAATTAGAAAAAGCAGAGGGTTAATGAGCAATTGTTAAACAAGATGGTAAAGACTATAATTGAGGTATGTGTAAAGAAATAGGCTCTAGCTACTGTTCCTAGTAGCTGTGAAGAGTTCACATTGAAGGCTTCACAGAGAAGGAGATGCTTGATTTGTGTGCTGCAAATAACAGAAAATCCAACATTAGTGGTTTAAACAAATAGGGTATATTTAAATACGGTAGGCAATTGCTGGTGTTGGTTTAATAGTTTATTGATGTTTGTGATTCTCTTGGCCTTTCCTTCATGGTTCCAAGATGGCTGCTGAAGCTCCAGCCACCACATCTGCATTGAAGACAAAAGTAAGAGAAATAGGTACTCTGCAGTCTATGAACACCAATAATTATTGATTGAATCAAATCAGGTTTTCTTTTTTTTTGAGACAGAGTCTTACTCAGTAGCCCAAGGTAGAATGCAGTGGTGTCATTATAGCTCACTGCAACCTCAAACTCCTGAGCTCAGGGAATCCTCTTGCCTCAGCCTCCCCAGTCACTGGGACTACAGCTGCAAGCCACTGCACCTGGCTAATTTTTCTATTTTTAGTAGAGACGGGGTCTCGCTCTTGCTCAGGCTGGTCTTGAACTCCTGACCTCAAGGAATCCTCCAGCTTCAGCCTCCCAGAATGCTAGGATCACAAGCATGAGCCATTGTGCCCAGCCTTGAATCGGGTTTTCTACGCATTGGTTTTTTTTGTTTGTTTGTTTGTTTGTTTTTTTGCCTTCATAGCTACACATTGATTTTTAAGTCTTTTCAAGTGGTTTCCTCTTTTCAACAGAAGCCTTCCATTTAATATGCATAATTTCCTACATGTTGCTATAACTCCCATCTCTTCTATAAATATTTATAATTTTTTTTTTTTTGCCTTCTTCACCTACTTCTCAGCCTTCAGTGGCAGCGCCTCTCTCCAATACCCTGCCTTGTGGTTGCAATGACCTTGTCCCCTCCTCCACCTTGACAACTCACTCTCATGCTCACACCCTGGATCTTGCATCGCAGGAAACCTAGGAGCTTCTGAACTCTTGATTTCTTGGTCCCTTTCTCTGACCACCCCTTCCCTTTCTCCCAGTTTGCTAGCTCAAGTCCATTTCAGCTGCTCTTTGCCCTCACTGTGACCTTGCTCCTTTGCGACAGCAGCCTATCGTTTTCTTACCATCCACCAACTTTCTCCTTCTGTCTGTCTGGATGATCTATCTGGGAGTCTCTAGTGCCCAGGACAGCTCCTGGCATATGGAAGGTATTCAGTAAATAGCGACTGAGTTAGATAAATAGTGGTGTCCATGTATGGCTGTGCAGTCACACTACACACTAGGGGCTCCAGCCACACAGACGCCTGTGTGAAGACTGCCCCCTAGAGGTGTGCAGTGCCCAACCTACCCAGCCACTTACAGCAGCCGTGGTAGGAACCCGGGCAAGTTCCCAATATCCTGAAGGATCCAGAGTCCGCGTCTGAGCACCGTCAGAATAAACGGCTCCCTGATACTGTAGAACATGCCTAAAGGCATTTGGTGGGGGGCAGGGGACGGGCCAGTGGGGAGAGGGCGTCTCTGAGGGGAAGAGGAACAGAATTGAATTGGAAGTCTATCAAGAACAAAGTCCCTTTTTTCCCCATTCAATACGATATTGGCAGTGGGTTTGTCATAGATGGACTTGATAATTTTAAGGAATGAGCCGTCTAT